AACCAAAGCCCACGTCCTGGCCAACATTCGACTTCTGAGTGCATGAAACATGGTTTCCTGTTGGAACTGAGTGAGTTCTGTGGATAATGGGATCCTCCTGCTTCAGCTTCCCGGAGTGCGTGCAAATCGGGAGTCAACGAGGAGGAGAAAGAAAGGAGGGAGGCAGAGGAATCCTGGAAGCAGGTTTTGGGGAGCTTTCTGGGGAGAGGGAGGCGGCGTTTACCCTCATGTGCTCACCGGCGCCCTCTAGCGAGTACAGGAGACGCTGCACCACATAGAACTTTTTTTATCTAACAGAATCCCAAACTCCAGAGGGGAAACTGAGGCTCAGGGAGGTGAAACGACCCGGGGTTTATCTGAAACCAGGATCCGTGGTCTCCTCTGCTCTCTGTCCGCCGCCCCCCACCTCGGGTCTGTGTGCATTTGTGTCTGGATCCTCTTCCCGGGACCCCGCCGGGGCCTCTCTCTCCCCCACACTCGCCCGCCCTGGTACCTCGATGGTGACAATGATGGTCCGGCCCACGGGCAGCAGGTCGCTGTCCACGGTGAAGATCCGGTAGAGCACTGCCAGGGCGCAGGGCGAGAGTGAGCCGGTCCCGGCTGCCCGCCCTCAGCCAGCCCAGCCCAGCCCGGCCCAGCCCAGCCGGCCCCTACCGGTGGAGCCCGGCGTGTAGATGGTCTTGTCCGTCTGGATGAAGAGGTACCCGCTCTGCAGGCTCACCAGCACCACCTTCTCCAGCTGCGTGCCCCCAAAGGCGGCCTGCACGACCACCAACTTGCGCCCCTTATCGGACTTGAACTCCTTGCTGGCGGGGATCTAGGCGGGAGCCAGGGGGTGAGGTCAGAGGTCCCCACGCCGCCCAGCGCCCCGCTTTCCTGCTTAGCCCAGTTAGGGGGAGGGCAGGGCCCCCCTGGACGAGGAGCCGGCAGAGGGCCTGGGCTCTGAAAGGGGGAAGGGATGGGGGAGGGGGGGACACTCAAAAGGGGCGGGGCCTCTGAGACTGAGAGCAGGGCTCGCAAAGGGGGGACCCTCAGGGAGAGAAGGGGCTCCGAGGGCGTGGAGACTGGCAGGGAAGGGCCTAAAAGGGTAGAGGCAGAGGGGCGGGGCTTAAAGGGTGGAGACTCAGAGGAGCCGGGCTTAAGGGGGTGGAGCCAGAGAGGTGAGGTCTAAAGGGGTGGGGCTTCTGGGGAGGGGCTTAAAGGGGTGGAGCCTGGGTGGGTGGGGCTTTAAGGGGCTGGAGGGTGAGAGGGGTGGGACTTAAACTGTTAGCGATTCGGAGAGAGGTGGGGCTTAGAGGGGCGGGGCCTCAGAGGGGAGGAGCTTAAAGGGTTGGAGACTCAGAGGGGAGGGGCTTGAAGGGATGGGACCAAATAGGTGGAATTTAAAGGAGTGGGGATGCTATAAGGAGAGGTGATTAAAAGGGGTGGAGTCTGAGAGGGGTGGGATTTAAAGGAGATTCAGAGAGGGGTGGGTTTTTGAAAGGAGACTGGGGGGTGGGGCTTAGGAGAGGTGGAGACTCTGAAAGGGGCGGGGCTTGGAGAGGTGGAGGCTGAGAGGGGTGGGGCTTAAAGTGTTAGGGATTCAGAGGGGTGGGGCTTAGAAGGGGTGGAGACTCTGAAAGTGGAGAGGCTTATAAGGGGTGGAGCTGAGAGAGGAGGGGCTTAGAAGGGGTCAGCTCCAGGAAGGAGGGGCTTAGAGAAGGCGGAGACTGAGATGTGGGTGGCTTTAGCAGGGTCGGGAGCTCAGTGGATTGGCTCGCGAGCTCCTGAGACTGGAGGAAAAGGCTTGATGGGAGGGGTCAGGAGGACACACGGCACAAGGCTTCGAGGTGCAGGTCTGCGCCCACCTTGATGGTGACAGTGCCTAGATATCCCGTGGCACTGGTCAGCACGGTCTTCTCACTGGACAGCACATTCTTCTTGGCCGGAAAGTCGTGGACAGTGACTGTGACAGGGATGTCCCCTTGCACTTCGTGGGCCTCCAGCACCACGGTCTCCTCGTTCTCCAGCCGCAGGATGTTGGGGGTGATGATCGAGTACCTGCCAGGGGCGTGCACGTCAGCCCAGGGACGGACACTCCGGAAGGTCAGCGCCTGGGCCTGGAGGGAGCCAGTGGCAGCCTTGGGCACTTGCCAGGTCCACCCCTGGGTCTCCGATCCTCTCTGGCCACGCACACTGCTCCGTCCGGGAGGAGGGGGGGGCAGCACAACTGCCACCAGCATGGCCCCCCTTGCCGGCGCACCTGGCCTTGGAAGCCTCTGGATCCCACAAACGCCCTGTGCTTGAATCCCAGACCATCATTCTCTAAGTTCACCGTGGCCTGAATCCCAAATGCTAAACCACTACGTTGTTTTGTTTTGTTTAGATTTATTTTCTTGAGGCAGAGTCTCATTACGTAGCCCAGGCTGGACTCGAACTCATGGGGATCCTCCTGCCTCAGCCTCCCCAAGTGCTGGGATTATAGGCGTGCACCACCATGCCCAGCACTATTAAATGTTTAATACTCCCAAATCTGTAAGCACCCCCACCTCAGACTTCCCAAACCAGACATACCCAACCTACAGACACGCAAACTTTGAAACCCCAAAATCTAGGGCAAATGCTAAAACGCCCCAAAGCTAAAGCTCTAACACTCCAGTCCTGTAAATACTACCAAAATTCACACGTCCCTGATATGACATAAGCCCCAAATGCCAATCTCGAACTCCCACAAATACTCCATCAGCCCCCAAACTGAAAACTCCCAAATTTTGCAAATCTAAGCTTTCAAATTACCCCGAACCACACAATTACACCTTAAATCTACCCTCTGACCCTTAATTCTATAAACAGGCAAACCCCAAACCCACAATACCTGGGTTCCATTAACTCAGCTCATAAACACCTCGGCCACGGGCTTTTCGGATTCATTAACGCCCCAGCCGCTGGCCCTGCGTGCCTAGAGGCCCCAAGGACCTGCACCCACAAATCCCTTTCCCCCACAGAAGCTGGCTACTCACATGGGGTCCCCCAGGGCCAGGGAGACGCTGGCCAGCAGCAGCAGCAGCAGGCTGGGACCTGCGGCGGGTCCCATGGTGCAGGGAGAGCCGAGCGACCCAGGGAGAGGACGGAGGAGTGAGGGGGGCGGCCCAAAGGCTGCTCTTATCTGGAGCCCGAAGCTGTATTCCCCGCCCCCAGCCCCCCTGCTCCCCGTCGGGGTTGCCCCAGATTTCTCAATACGGTTTCCTAAGTTTTCAAGCCCTGCAGCCAACAATTTATGGGGCGAGGAAGCTGAGGGCCTGACCTCTGCCCGGGCTTCGCAGGGTCAGGGCTGGCTGGTGACGGGACTGTTCCTCAGCGTGCCCAGTTTGTCGTGGAGGAACCCTGGGGTGCAGAGAGCCTTCTTTGCCAGAGACTTGGGGGCCTCCTCTTCACCGTGTATCTAACTTTTATTGATTGATGTTGGCAGCCCCTGGGATTGAAGCCAGGGCCTTAGCACTGAGCTGTATCACCAGCCCCCTCTCCCATACCATTTAAAAACATTTTTATTTTTGAGTCAGGGTTTTACTAAGTCACAAATTTGCCCAGTCTGGGATGGAACTCATGAACCTTCTGCCTCAGCCTCCCAGGATTGAATTACAGGTGTTTGACTTATTTTTTTTAAGAGAAGGGGATCTTGCTCTGTTGACCGGGTTGGCCCCAAACTCCTAGGCTCAATCGATCCTCCTGACTCAGCCTCCTGAGTAGCTGGGACCATAAATATGTATGCCCCTGTGCCTCTCATGCATTTTTTAAACACACTTTCTCTGTGAGTCTACCTTATGCTGGGTGGTAGAACCCTACTTCCAGAGGCCTCCATGCTGGAGGGAAAGGTGGGAGGGGACAAATCTAGCACAGACATTCCCAACCCCATTGAATATTTACCCCAGTGGAAAAGACAGAGTCTGCATCTAGAGGAATCAGAGAAATATTTGTGGAGGTGGGGGCATTTCAGCGAGGCTTTCGAGTATGTATAGGAGTTCACTATCCAGGTATATTTACTTTCTAGGGAAAGGGGGACTCACCCTCGTCAGAGTGCTGGGTGGTTAACACAGTCATCAATGAGGAGAGTCTTGTCTCTAGCTTTTGTAAGATACAGATAGAGGTATATCTTACATCTACATCCTCACGGGCTATGATTGCTTTAAGTTGTATCATTTAAATTGTGCACGTGCATTTAGGTAGAATAGATGCATAAGACCCAAAATGTGCACATGGTTACAGAGGAAGAGGTCGCCTTTCCTGAACCCCTTCTGGCAGTGCACACATACCCCCCGTATTTGTCTTTCTGGGTCCCTGCCCTGGGCCTTGCTTTGTCACGGGCTCCAATTCCCTCAGAGATTGCTCCTCCCAGTGCACGGCCGCTTCCTCATTCCCGCCTGCACCCACCTCCCGCTGCACGGTGTGGAAGGAACAAGCCCTTCCGGTGCGCAGACTTCTGGAACCTTCCGCAGCCTGCAGGCTTTTCTGGCTCTGACACCGAAGAGCCGTGAACTTGGCGTGAGCGGTTGATTACCACTCCGCCTCGGTTTCCCCCGCAACATGGGTTGCGATTGTAACCAAAGGCCTCTGGATGAATGTAGGATGGCTTTTTTAATGCCAACCTCGGAAGTGAACCCCCCGGGGCCTTTTTTTTTCCTGCTTTTTGCCGCTTAGCCAGCTACCTTGTGCTGTGGGGTGCAGGGTGGGGGCGCAGGGTCTCCATTCCTGGAGCTGCGATTTCCAGCCCCTCGCTGAAGGGGTTAAAGAGAATTTGCACCGATTCCTGTAAACCACGCCTTTGTCCTGGCCCTGGCAGGGTAGGGGGAGGCTTGGCGAACTGAACAAACCTGGCCGCCCTCTGCAGGATTGCAACACCCTGGAAGGGGAGGAGGAGCAGGAGGAGGAGGAGGGAGGAAGAAAACATTTTGCTTGTTTGCAAAACTGAGGTTCAGCTTTTGAAACTGAGTCTCCCAGCTGCCCCCCATGACTTCCCCACCTCACTTTCACCCCCAAGAAACCAATTTCCTGTTTCATTAACGCCAGAGCCACAGGCTTTGTTTTTGACAGTGATTTTGGTGTTGGCTTCTGTCTGGCTGCGAGGCTTCCTTTCTGGAGCCTTCCGTAAACCACCTGCACCTTCTGTACAAACCCGAGCGACGGGATCATGGTAAGGCTGACAGCGTGTATCCTTGTTCATGGCAGAGTAGTACTCCATCGTGCATAAACACCACATTGTATTTTTGTGATTTTTGTTTAGTTTTATTTTGTTTCTTGAGACAGGCTCCGGTTGTGTAGTCTGGGCGGCCCTTGAACTACACTGCCCAGGATGGCCTCCAACTTGGGATATTGGAATGGACCCCAGTGCCCGCAAGGCTCATGGGGTAGGAGTTTGACATCCTTCGATCCGTTTGACTGACGGTGATACCAGGCATGTCCACAGTGCTGGCATCTAGCTGGACAGGGTCCAGGTCCCGTCACGAGCTTCAGGAAGACATCAGCGGAGAGGAAACTGGCGACACCAAGGCCTGGGGTTGGGGGGGAAGGAAGGGGGAATTCTTCAGCCCCGTGATTTTCCTCTAAGGATGTGTGTGTTCCAAATCGTGGACAAGATAAGCCAGCAGAGGGGCAGCTGGGACGCGTGCGTGAGGGGGATTTCCACGCGGCACACCCACCAGGCCAGCATTCCAGCTCCAGGCCAGACAGACGGGCGAGGCCGCCCGATGCATCATGGGGTACGAAGCCGACGTAGGTACAGTGCGGTGGACCTGCACGGGTATCATCCGGGCACTCTGGGAGGCTGGCACGTCGCAAGTTCAAGCTCAGCCTGTGCCAAAATAAACCATAAAACAGCGCTCAGTGCAAAGGCCCTGGGTTCAGGCTCCTGCAGTAAGCGAACAGCAACCTCAGAAAGTACAATCAGCCGCGCATTTGCGCTCTGTGGATTCAACCTCCACAGACGGAAGCATGCAGAGGCCTTTTGTTCTGGTGATTGTTCCCTACAGGATACACTGTGTGCACTGCACTTACACTGTAGCAAGAATATAAAGTCTAAGGGGAAAAGGCGGGCAGGTTCTATGCAAATATCTATGCCATTTTATTTCTTTCAGCTCTTTTTATTAGTACACGCTTGCAGCCCATAATGCTCACGCTGCTGGTGTGGAGTTGGTCCACGCACACCACACATCTTAATTCATTTCCATCCCTCTTCCCTCCCCTCTCCCCATCCCTCCATCTCTTGATCACCTTCCCATTTGAGAAGGATCTCTCCTCTCATTTCCTATTATCTTTTGTTCTGCTCTTTATTTGTAATTTTGTTTCTCATTTAAGAGTGATATTTAAACTTGTGTGTCTGCGATGGTTTCGCTTAACTGACCCAAATTTATCCTTTTTTATGGCAGAGTAGTACTCCCCCACGTACGAATACCACACTTTATCCATTTATCAGCTTGATGGACGTTGAGGTTGACTTGATTTTTGTTTCATTTCTTGAGACAGGGTCCGGTGGGAATCCTGTGGGCATCCTGGAGCCAGTTTCCCAAGGTACTGAAGTCCAGCGTACTTGCAATTTACCTGAAATTCAGATTTACCCAGAAATCCCGTGTTCTGTCTGGCATGCTAACTGGGAACCGTGAGGAGGAGGTGGGGGTGATTTAAGGGCAGGTTCCCGGGCACCCTGGTTGTGCACTTTCTGGGTTTGGTCACCTCCTGAACCCCTCCATTCTTTCCCTGATACAGGTGCAGCCCGGCCTGCGTACCACAGAGACACCCCCCCAGCCATGTTACTTTCCTGTAATTTTCCTCCTGGAAACTCACCTTCTGCAACGCTGTTACTCATTAACTCGCAGGCAGCCTTGACCTGGCTGCCCGGTGGCAGTGGTCCCCCTGACCCCTGCTCCGAGGGTGCTGGGGACTCCTGCTCTCAGAGCACCAGGCAGGATCCTGGATTCCGGATCTGCAGGGTCCCCCGGGCACTCGGGCCACTGGTCCCTGTCTCTATTCCTCCTCCAAACTGCAGGCCCATGGCCACGGAAGCACCTTTCTGGTCTGGGGTGAGAATCCAGCCACACCAGGCAAATGGAAAACATGGCCACTTGACCACAGTCAGAGCAGCTGTTTGTTCACGGCCACTCTGCTCGGTTCTGACAATGGCCCTGACCCCTCCCCTGCTAAATCCCCATCTTATTCTTGAACCCAGATGCTGACCGAGCTTCTGCCTGGAATCTTTCTCCCAGCGCCTCCTTCCTTCTGTCCCCTCTCCCACCGACTCAGGAGCCCGAGGTTGGAGGATCACCTGAGTTACTCTGGACAATACAGGGAGGCCTTATTTTTTTAATTCCAGAAATAAACCATTTTAAAGTTTTGCATTGTGTACTGGTCTGAGTGGTGTGGTAAAATCTCCCCTGGACTTGAATCATTCCTTTGACCAGTGTCTCCACCTTGTAGATGCTACCCTCCCGTTACTCATTAGTAACTGTCTTGTCAGGTTGATTACTGAGGAATCAGAATCCTTGTGTTCAACTAACACTCATTTTACTTAATAATGGCCCCCAACCAACTGAAATAGTGACTGTGGGACTTGGATGTGTAAAAATGAAAAGGAGAAACCACAATATGACACTTTGAGAGCACTATAACATAGTATTACATTTTTTTTTTTTTTGAGATGGGGTCTCACTGTGTAGGTCAGGCTGGCCTTGAACTCACTTTGTAGCCTGGGCTGCTCTGGAGCTCACAAGGATCCTCCTGCCTCAGCCTCCCGAGTGCTGCGATTACAGGCCTGTACTGCCATGCCCAGCTTGTTCTATTTTTTTTTAAATCAGTACATGTCTGCAATATGTAATGATTGCATTCCTTGTGGGGAAGTTGATCCATGGATACAATGTATCTTATAAATATCCTATTTTGCAATCAGGCATTTTTGTTAACCTTACACCAGGCCTGCTTTACAATCAGCACCATATTGGAGGTAGCAGGGAACCGCACTGGATCTGTTGGCCTGGGTATGTGATCGGCTTCAGCCAGTCATTGGAGCTCCTGGACTGTACCCCCATAAACAAAGGAGACCCCTGAATATGACACGCATATGCTAATGAGAGCAATCACAGGCGGTTTGTTGACTTCTTGTATTCAACTTGTTTACTGCACAGGCTGTAGAAATTAGTCTCCTACGTACAGGTAAAGGATAGTCTTTGGTCCCTTGCCTAGAATCCTGCAGCTGGTTAAGAGTTGGGATTTGCACTCAGGCCCCAGTTTGTGCCAAGCTGTTTTTGAGTCTCTTGTTGCATTGTAAGAAATCCTTTGCAAACTTGGCAGCTCAAAACAACACTGGTCTGTTAATTCTTGCAGTTGGGAGGCTGAGTCAAGACCATCTCCACCTCCAGGTCCTTCATGGATGGTCATTTTCATACTGCCTTTCACCATGGCAGGCCTTTGGGGGTCAGGGAGACCATGATCTGCCTCCTGCAACACACGCCCTGGGGAAACCCGTCTACGCAGTCCTGTCCTTCCTTTTTAACCTGCCATGGCTCCCGGGGCACGAGCAGAAAACCCCGAATGTGTCTGCCAGCTCCTGCTGCCTTCAGGCTGCGTCCGGCCGCCCTCAGCCCACTTCCTTCTCCATCTGGCTGGGCTGTTCATTCACGTGGGCCCCAGCTGTGTCTGCTTCTGTTTACAAAAAGCCTTCACCCCAGCCCTGCTCCCTGCCCCATGCTTGGGCCGCTGCTGCTTTGCAAAGGGGCCTGGAGCCCTGGTGGGGGGGACGGGAGGGATCCTAAATACCTGCCCTTGCTGAGTGGATCCCCGATGCCCCTCACACCTCAGTCACAGGGACAACTCCACCAACTTGAGGTCCTGTTTTACAAGCCAGGAATCAGAGAGGGTGAGCCAGCGGCCCGGGTCACAGTCACAGGTAGCCAGGGGCAGCGGCCTCGCTGCAGAGGAGCCTGTGGGGCTTCAGGGCCTGGCTTGGGGGGCTCCAGCCCCGAGCTTCTCACTAACCCACAAGCTGCGTGACTGAGCACGTTGCTAAGCCTCTCTACACCGCCCAGGCTAACAAGTCCTCAGAAACCTTCTGCAGGGCACGCCATACAGCAGTCACGACGGATTATTATTACTGCTATTACTTATCTCAAGACAGGATCTTGCTAAATAACTAAATTGCCAGAGCTGGGCTCACACTTTCCACCCTCCTGCCTCTGCCTCCCAGAGCGCTGGGACGACAGGCGCACTGTCCCCTGCGGGGCTGAATTATTTCTCCAAGTCTCTTGGCCTTCTCCAAGCTTTGTCCTTCTGGCTGCTCAGGGGCCTGTGCAGACCCGCCACAGGTGCGAGGGCTCAGGGACGGCACCGCCCGGGTCACTGCTCTGTCCCCAGCACCTGGCAGAGTGCCTGGCATGGATTAGTTACTCAATGGGTATTTATTGAACCCAGAACGCATCCACGCTGCACCCCGCTTGTGAATACAGATTTCTAAACCGTAAACAGGACTTCTGCCTTGAACCTCAACCCCAGAAACGCAAGAAACCCAGATAGCAAAAACAGACTGGTCATTATTACAGTAAGTACAGGGCAGCCCTGCAGCCAGGAAAAAGTGGCCGGATTTGGGGCCTCGAAGGGGGCGTCTGTCTCCCCCCCCAGGAAGGGGGACCCCAGGAAGCCGGGTAGGCCCCCGCCACCTCCCCACATTCGCTCTGGGCCCCTGAGGCAGACAGGAGGGTCGGTAGGAAGAGGACGAATGGACGGTGGACTTCGGGTCCCAGAAGTGGCCACATCACAACTGCTCCCGGGCGCTTACTGTTTTTTTGACTTTGGAGAGGCCTTCCCGGAAGCCGGAGTCGGTCATCCTGCGGGCAGACACAGGGCAAAGGTATGCAGCCTGCACAGCAGGCAGCCCGCCCCCACCTCTGGGTCGCTGGCCCGGTGCCCTAAGGCAGGCCCAGAGCTCCTCCAGGCCCCGCCCACCGGCAGGCCCCGCCCAGACCCCACCCACCCTGCTCAGCCCCGCCCACCCACTCGGCCCCGCCCACCGCTCAGCCCCGCCCCTCAGCCAGGCCCTGTCCTGTCCAGCGCAGGCCTTACACTTGCTCCGTCTGTATGTCCTCCTCGGCCTCCTGGGGCAGCTGCAGGTACGGGTTGTCCCCGGCGGGCTGGAACTTGTAGCCCGTGAGCACAAAGAAGGCCAATGTGGAGCCTTCCACCAAGAGCTGTGGGACACAGCGGTGAGGGGTCAGGCGCTCCCGCCTCTGCTGGCTGACCCGGACAGATCCACCCGGCTCACCTGGTACAGCCACTGCCACTGGAAGGGCACGGCCACGCGCAGCAGGATGGCGATGATGCGTGTGAAGTACACGTAGCAGATGACCTGGGGACAGGCGGAGGGGACGGAGGGGATGGAGGGGCTGGGACACCCGGGCTGGGGCGGGGCTGGGGCGGGCTCCTACCAGGACGTAGTAGTGTCGGAACAGCTTCAGCTTGGCCAGGTTCACTGCCGCTGAGGAGGGCAGAGAGGGGCAGGGTCACCTGGGCGGGAGGGGCGGGCGGACGGGGCAGAAGGTGGAGGGGAGACCTGGGGAGGGCAAGGGGGGGGGGAACCAAAGGGAGAAGGGCTGGCTGCGGTGTCCCAAGGGAAGGAGACGGACGGGCCCAGGAACGCGGAGGCCAGCAGGATGGGCACGGTCAGGAGGGACACTCAGGGCCAGCAGGAGGGAGGGGGCAGCAAGGGGGCTGGCTGCAGAACCGCCTCACCCTTCCCATCTGTGCCAGATGCGTCCTGCAGATGCCGAATGGACCTGGACAGGCAGGGGTACAGGGCGTGGTCAGATGCCCCAGTGCCCACAGGAGGAACCTCAGCCCAGAGGGAGCCCAGATGAGGGCGTGGCCTAAGACGGGGCGTGGCCTCGAGTGTGGGCGTGGCCTCCGCCAGGGAGGGAGCCCGGGTGTGGGCGTGGCCTCAGACAGGGGCGGGCCCTCACCAGACAACTGGGAAGAGGATGGCCCCACAGCATGTGAGGTCCACCAGGAACAGAATCTCCTTCCAAAGCCCATAGTCGCTGGCACCTTCTTCTCGGGATTCCAGGACGATGTAGGCCACGTTGGCCAGGACCTGAGCAGTGGGGTGCAGTGCGTGAGTGGTGGGGGACACGACCTATACCCGCCCCTCCCCCACCTTCCTCCCCTCCGGGGCTTCCCCTGGGCACCTGCAGGGGAATCACAATCCCGAATATCTTCTTCTCCTTGTCCGAGAGGACGTACTTGACGAAGGCCCAGCCAGAGCCGATCAGGGCGATGGTGATGAAGAGGAGCGCGCCCTTCAGCCTTGGGCAGGGCGCCGGGAGGGTCTGGTGAGGAGGTGGGAGCCGGGCCCGCCCCACTGGCCCTTCCCACAAGCCGGCGGAGGGCACACTCACAGGTGTGTGATGTAGTGCATGACGGCGAGGCCTTCGATGGGGTGGCCCTGGCTGTTGATGAAGTAGTAGTTGATCTGCAGGTGGACAGACGGAGGGACAGTCAGATGGGTGCGTGGACGGGCAGGGGGTGGATGTTGGGAGTGGGCAGTGTGGAGGGGGCCGGACGCCGGCTGATGGTTATAAGCAGGGTGAAGGGTGGGGCTCAGACACACACATCTCAGTCACAGGGACAGCAGTGCTGGGATGGCACGGTGCTGGGGGTTGGACAGTGAGGCCATCGCTGGACCGGCAGACAGGTAACCCCGACAGTGGCGGAGATGGATGACACTGAAGGCCGGCTGTGCGGGGGACACGTGGTATCCGGGTCCAGGGTGCAGGGAGGGGTGGCCCTGTGCTCCCACCCTACCCCGTCTGCCGCCCAGCCCACACCACTCACGCTGTGGAAGAGGAGAGAGATGCTCTTGGTGAACGCCAGGGCGGCCATGAGCCAGTGGATCTTGAAGACGTTGTACCTGGGAGGGAAAGGAGGGGGACACGGGGTGGGGCAAAGCTCGTCGGCTGGCAGGGAGCGGAAGCCCTGGTCAGGGAAGGTGCCGGCAGAGGGCAGGGGTGTTCATTACGTGTTTCTGCAGAGCATGTTCACCCAGAAGATGCCAGCGGCCAGGAAGCAGGCAGACATGACCAGGTAGAGCTTGAAGAGGGGAATCTCTGCGGCAGACAGGAAGCCCTGGGGGTTCTTCTCTCGGATCATCACCTGGGGACAGGGTGGCCCCAGTCATGTAGCCACAGCTCTGTGCTTGGAGAGCTGTCCCAGCCCCTAGCTTTCCTTAAGCCTCAATGTGTCTCATCTTTCAAATGGGTATATACTGGCTGACCTCAGGATCCTTAGGGCATCGCTGCAGGGCAGACACCAGAATCAGACAGTCTCATATCCTTTATGTCAAATGGCAAAGTATTTACACAGAGGGCTGGGAGTTTAGCTCAGCGGCATAAGCGCTTGCTTGGCAAACATGAGGTCATGAGTTCAATGCCCAGTACCAAAAAACAGAAAAGAAAGTATTTTCACAGAACCTGCACACATCTTTTTATAGATTTTAAATCACCTCTAGACTATTTAGGTTACAGATCATAAATCTCAGCTAACCTGGGCAATTTAGCAAGATCCGGTCTCAAAGTTAAAAAAAAAAAAATGCTGGCGATGTGCAGATGTGCAAAGGGCCTGGGGTCTAGCCCCAATTTTAAAAAAGAGGAGCAAGAATATCTGGTAACAACCTAAAGGCTAAGACAGTTTACAAAACAGTGACAAGAAGCGTTTTGTTTGACACTGACATAATTTTTACAGTGTGATTACTCTGAATCCCGCAGACACAGACCACTGCAGGTCCTGGTTAGCATTTCCCATCAAGGCCGCTGAAGGGTTCAGGGCAGCTAAGCCTGGCCCTGGCCCCCACAGCAGCAAGCACCCCTGACACCTGCACCCCCTTGGTTCGCTCACCGTGAGGTCGAAGGGGCGTTCCTGGCCCGGCATCAGGTTGTAGCAGTTGTGGAAGTTGAGGCTGTACTGGCCTTCCTCAGCCCTGGAGCCAATCACCACGTGGAACTGCGTGGGGGGAGAAGGGTGTCAGGCTGGGCGGTCTCACCAGGCGGGGCGGGCTCCGGGGGCTCTGCACACTCACGCTGAAGTTGTAGGAGTCGTTGAGGTGGCCCAGGTGCAACACCAGGTCCTTGCTCTTCTCAGGGGGACCCTGAGGGGACAGAGCTCTTCCCTCAGCTGGCCCTGGGCTGGGAACCCCAATGCTCTCGGGGTACACCTTCCCCCACCAGTCCCAGCTCCCCGAACCTGAGACCCAGCAGGTTTAGCCGGGGCTTTGCTAGCCGTGGAGTTTCCTGTGGGAGACAGGTGGGAGGCTTTATGAGGTGAAGGGATGTCGGGGAGAAAAGCCGAGCCCACGCAGGGCATCCCCGCCCCGCGTCCCCTCCTGCCCACCGGACGCACCGCCGCCCGCCTTGGCCTCGGGAGTGACCGTGGGGGCTGCCTCTGGGAGCCCGGGGTGGGAAGGCACTCTGGGGAGGAGTCCGGGAGAGATGAAGAGCTTCTCCTGTGCCCCATATTTCCGCACCTGGACCCTGAGGGGATGATGAGGGGGTCAATGTCCGGTCAAGTCAGTGGTCACCAAGTTCCAGATCCAGCAGGGTAGAGGCCCTGCGTGCGCGGATGCTGCCTACGCTAACGGCTATCTGTCATTCCCCGTGACCTCCGCTCCGTGCCCACTGCCGTACTAAGGAAGAAGCAGTGGGTCGGCTGTGGGGTGCCACCGTGTGGCGAGACTGACGCCAGGCTGCCTGCGTCTGAATCCCAGTGTGGGAGACTCAGTTTGGGCAGCTAAAAAATGGGAACGACTGAAGTATAAAGAAACACAAGTTTTCAGGGCGCCACCAGGAACGCAAGAAGCATTCCACAGGTGTGAAGGGTCAGCGTTAATCCCCGTGCCAACCTTCTGCATGGGGCCTCTGCTCTGAGCGCCCCCACCCCGATTCTGTGAGTAGCCTTCCCGTTTCCCTCTTTTTCAGCCTGCAGGTTTGGAGCTCACACTAAATTGTGAGTGGTTTTCTGCCTAGGGGGGTTCTGCTCTGCTGGCTTAATCCATCTGAGAGCTCCGGGACAGGTATATGCCATATTCAGGAAGATGGACATGGATTTTTTTTTTAACTTTTATTTTTTTATAGTGCAATGGCCTTGTCCTGAGCTACACCCTAGTCCTTTTAAAAAAAAAAAAAAAATCTTTTAAGACGAGGTCTTGCTAAGTTACTAAAATGCCCATGCTGGGACTGAACTTGGAATCCTCCTGCTTCAGCCTCTCCAGTGCTGGGATGGCCGGCATGCACCACCGTTTCCCTGCCAGACGTGGCTCTCTAGCCAGCCCCCAGCCCCAACTTACTGCAGATTCTTGGTGTTGATGAGGAACAGGACCAGGAGGTTGCTACTATTTCTGTGGAGCGGGCATTCATGGGAATCCTGGGCCTGGGAGCGGGCAGTGGGTACCTGGGTTATGGTGGTTCCTCCCCTCTCCCCAGGACCTCTTCCCACCCCACCTCTGGGAAAGACACGGGAGACAGGCAGCCCCACCCCACACTGCACCCCCACAGCGCTTCCCCACTCCCCTACTCACTGAGTAGGATCGGACACTGCCAGATCGAGCCCGGCTCAGACTGAACCCCACCTGGTGGGTCCAAAGAAAGCAAGTCGTAAGACACTGTAGCAAGGACCACCGAGTTACCCTTCTCACGGCAAGAGAAAGCTGGTCTTGTATTTACTGAGCAGCTACTATGCACTGCTCAAACCGTCTCTGCATTTTTCTCCAGCCAGCCCCCTCCCTCTTCTTCCTGTATCTCCAGCCACCCAACGGGACTCAATGTGGATGCCACTTCCATGCGGAGACCAATCATATCCCATTCTCCTTTCCCCAACTTAAAATGTTGATGCTTTCCTGCTCTGGGCGCTGGAATTCAGCACATCACATTGGAACTCGGGGCCCTGCCATTTCCAAGGTAGTACAATCAGAAAGCCACTCCCAGCCTGTGATCATTCCTATAAAATGGGATTCGGCGAATTTCCACAGACTCCCAGAAGGGCTGCCGTGGGGGAACAGAGTCACGGAGACTGTTCAACGCCGTACCTGGTCCACTCCAGTCAGTAAATATTGGCGGTTAAGAACACTGTCTCGCGTCTTTCACTTGAGACACTTTTTTCCCTATGTTACAAAGGAGGAAACTGAGGCACAGTGAGGCTGTGACTTGCCCGTGATCACAGGGGCAAGACGCAGGGCTAGGCTGGGAATCTAGAAGCGGGGGAGGTTGTGAAACATATGCAATCAGCCCCAGCCGTCCTCAAAGACCCTCACCAACGGCGACTTGTCGTCTGTCTCCCCGGGGCTTAGTCGCAAGAGGCTCAAGTCCACTTCCAGGGAACCATTGGTGTAGAAGCCAAAATTGTTGAGCTGGATGTCCGCTCGCTTCTCCCCCTACCGGACACAAAGCAGAAGGAGGCGGCTCAGATGGTTTCCCACCAGCCCAGGGTTCTGGCACGAGGCCCCACCACCACCACCGCCCAGCCCCAGCCTCCTGGGGTCCCTTGTTCAGGGGGGAGGGTGACCAGAGAGGGTGGCAAGGCCTTTCCGAGGTTCTGTGGCCAGACAAGTCTCGGGCAGGGACAGGGTGGCCGGGGAGCTTCCAACTATGATTCTGAGTTCAGGAAGTGAAACCAGGGGACCACGAGAAGCCACCCCCGAGGGGAATACCACCCCGAGAGCAGTTACTGTTCAGGATTTGCCATTCCTTCTTCGCCTGGAAAACTTTTAGATTCCGCCGGGCCCCTAGGGCACTAAGATTTCAGCTGAGCTGCCAAGAGCTCGGTGAATGATCAGATCTCATCCGAGAAACCCCTAGGGTGCTTTCTGAACGGCGCCAAGGGGGCTGTGGCATTCCCGAACGGATTCCAAGAATTTAAAAGGCTGAAGGGTTAGGGGGTCCCGAGACACAGAGCCTGGCCTGGATGGGCCAGAAAGGCTGCAGCGCCCCCGGCCAGGCGCCTCCAACGCGAGTACAGAGGGGGATCCTGGGACGGACCACTCGGGCCTGGATGCGGGGGGCGTCCGGCCGCTCCACGCCGCGGAAGGAGCGGGGAGGACGGGCCAGACCACTCCACACCGGGGGCTTCTCCCGCACAAAGTTACGCCCCTTGCCCCAGACCACCGCGCGGCGGAACTCACCGTCAGCGCCAGTCGGTGGATACGCCCCGAGCAGCTGCCCACCAACAGCACCAGAAGAAGTCGCTGCCCCCACTCTGCGGGGCTCCAGCAGCCGAGCCCCCTCCTCTCGCTCTCTGCCATCTCTGGAGCTGCCGCCTCCCTTGACACCGCCTCTGACGCACCTAAGCCCGCCTACCCGTGAGCCAATCGCCACACGGAGATCCCTGCTCTGCGGCGTTTCCACCCACCTCAACCAATCATCGGACACGTTTTCGCAAGCCCGCCCTCATACGACACTAGATGGACAGAAACAGCTCCGAATGGAAGTGCTTAGACTGCTTAGTCCTGCCTCCACACACACCAATCACTAGAAGTATTATCCCGGATATAATTTGATAAACAGTCCAGCTAACCAATGATCATGAATCTGATATCCTGTCTTGAAAGCGGAATTTCTTCTCCCAACTCTTAACGGATCAGAACTACATTACCCAGAATCCAGCGACAGCAGACACGCTCAGCAAGGAGTTAAATGAACTACATTTCCCAGTATCCCCAAAGGACTTCCTCTTCTTACCCTGGGGATTTGGCTTTCAGCCAGACCTTAGGCTTTTTTGGTAAACACTCGCATCTGTCGAGGCTTGTCTCTTTCTCCTAATTTTCCTGGTCCAGAGATCTAACCTTGGCTCCAGGTTAAATCTTGACCTTAGGGTGACTTACCACCCCAAGTTGAATAAACTTTAGGCTAAAGCCACTGTCCCAAAGTGAGGCGATTGGAGGCTTTCCCACACCCCAAATTTAAATCTTTTCTTCAGCTGAGCCCCTACATAAGCCTAAAAACCTGCCCTCCTTCCCTTGCTGATCCCGGACACCCCGAACCACTCATTCATACTGAAACCTAATCTCTGGCTGAGACCCCAACTCTAGATTATGCCTGAGCACTGATCCCTAACTGGATTGTGGCCCCATTCGGTACGCCTCCCACCCCATCCTTAACCATGGTGCTGACCTGGGCTGAACCACAAATGCAATTTAAGTCTGACCAGAGTTGAGCCCAGAATTTTGCTGGCCTGAGCCGCAAACTCACAAGGAGCTACTGAACCCCACTTTGCAACAAGAGACTTCCTAACCTAGATGCCGCCAGCAGGTGGGGCAGTTCTAGTTTGGGCGCCCAGGCTTCCATCTGCAGGGGAGACCGGGTCTCGGGACCCACTCTCTTTCGCACCCCCAACAGGGCGCCTTGTGGGCCTTTGTAACTGCCAAAGGCAGGGGAGGTTAGGGATGGGAGCCACACAAGTCTCTCCTCTTTCCTCCCAGAGCCTCATGGCAAGGGGATTTACGAGGTGCGAACAGATTTTTACAGGAGAGAACAGATTTCCAAGCCCCAGGGCCCAAGCATTAAGGGGAGGGGCCGCCGGCATCCCCAGGCGAGGGCTGATCGTTACACCTGATTGGTCCTTAATGCGTGAGACCTGAAAATGTTCAGGCGCAAACGTGAACTGAACGGGAAGAGACCTGGGACCGGCGCCCCAAGGACAGTTCGCTCTCAGTTTCCCAGGGGAGACTCTAGGGAAAAGAAGGCAGGATGCGGTAGGGGCACTAATGGACCCGGCCTTGGGGGAGGCGCGTCCTCGGCTGGATCGAAGTCTCCCATCCGCTCTGTGGCCGGAGAGACCAGGCCATTAGTGGGACGAACGTAGACGCCTGGAGCCGGTTCGGCCCGCAAGAGCCAGGTGACCTCAGGTTCTCTCCAACGCAGTGGGGGAAGGACTTGACTTTGGGATTTTACAAAAACTCTTGGCTCTTTAAGGAATGGTTGTGAGGGAAGGGAGCAAGGAAGAACGGTGCAGAGACGAGGTGGTGGATGAGAGGACGAGAAAAGCACCAGAGACTTGGAAAATGGGTGGGGGTCGTATCAGTGGTGCATCCAGGGGCGTCGGGTAGCAATATTCCTTTAAGAGGGGGCGGGGCGTCAGTTGAATGCCCGCCTCCCCGGAGCCCCGCCCCCAGGGAAAAAAACCGGCTGGGGGCGTGGTAAAGGCAGAGGGGCGTGGCATAAATGCTGGTGGGCGTGACCAGGGCGGGTCTGGGCGGGGCCGGGAGTGCCGCCCTGGGCCGAGTCTCCCCGGGAGGGCGGCGGGCGGCTGGGACCGGGCGCGGCGGCGGGGGCGGCGGCGGCGGCGGCGGCGGCCTCCTCGGTTGCGGGAGCAGCATGGATTGGGGCACCGAGTTGTGGGTGAGTCCGATCGTCCCGGCTGCCACTTCTGGCTGGCCGGGATCTAGCCCGCCCCGCTTTGTCCCCGCCGTACTCTAGCCGGGCTGAGCGTACTTTAGTGGGTTTTTTCCCGAGGGGACCCCCGGATCCCCGCCCTCTGCCCTCTGCCTTCTCGGGGAGTTTCCCCGAGCGTCCCGGGACGCCCTGGAGCCCAGAGAAACGGTGCCGGACGCGATCGGGGAAACTGAGGCACGGCATGGCCAGGAGGGCGACGGCGAGCTGGACCAGGCCCGGGCAGCGGGCGAGGTCACCTATTTTGAGCACCCGGCCGGCCGGCTCAGCGCTGCTCTGGGTGCCTGCCCGCCCCTGGCCGTCCAGCGCGGGGGGAGGGGATCCCCTGGCCGCCCTCGCCCTCCACGTGGGGCGCCCTGCCGACCGCCCGTCTCCCGGGACTGCACCCCGGGGGCGCCCCGGCGGGGTCTGCAGGCAAGCCCGGCCCCACCTCCGCCTCCCGCGGGGCCCCCGACGCGGGGCGGGCCGCCGGTCGCCTCTCACCCTGGAAACCCCAGAACTTTCCCGGAGCCTGGCGGACCCCGAGCCCCCCCCTCGGGCGCTGCAATCCCCGGTTTCCCGGGTGCCGCGGAGGCCCCAGATCGCCTTCGCCCCTGCAAGCCCGCGGCTGGAGTGGGGTCACCGGGGGAAACTGAGGAACCCGTGGAAAGCCCTGGGGTGTCGGGGAACCTGCAGCCTGCCCCTTGGGCATTCCGGACCCCCCTCCCCGATCCCTGCGCCTCCGGCCTGACTCACTCACGCCAGGCCGGCCGGATTTTCCGGAATCTGGGGGGATTAGGGGAGCCCGGAGGGGAGGGGTGGCCTTGCCCCCCTGCACCGCCCGCCCGCAGCCCCAGGCCCCGCAGCCCCGGCCCGCCGTGTCCGGCCGCCCCATCCCGGGAGGGGAAGGGGTTCCCGCCAGTTTCCTGCCCCCCTCCGCGCGCTGCCGGGCGGCGCCGGGAAGCCACGCCTGCTCCAGCTCCTGGAGTGCGGCTACCTACCGGGCCGAGCGGTGGGGCCGGGGGTTCCCAGCGAGGTCGTGACCCAGCCCCCCACGCACCCCATCAGGATCAGTTCGAGGTGCTCGAGCGCCACACGCAGTGGGGGCTGGACCTGTTGGACAGATACGTGAAGTTCGTGAAAGAACGCACCGAGGTGGAACAGGCCTATGCGAAGCAGCTGCGGTGAGACCCCCGGGTGCACGCGGCCTCGGGGTCCGGGGGTGCAGCTGGAGGGCCGCGGGCTCAGCCTTCTGCCTGTCCCTCCCTTCAGGAGCCTCGTGAAAAAATACCTGCCCAAGAGACCTGCCAAAGATGACCCCGAATCCAAGTAAGAGACGAGGGGGTTGCCAGGGCCCCCCTGCTGTCACCCCACCTCGGGCCTCTCCCGGGCATCCGGGCACTTGCACCGGAGCTCAGAGCAACCTGGGTGCAAGAACCGGGCGACCTGATTTGAGCCCTAAATCCACAGCTTTTGCAGCAAAGTGATTTGGAGCACGTGACTCAGTTTCCCTCCACAATTTTTTTGGGGGGGGGTTTCCAATTCGAAGTTTAAATCCATAGCCTTTGCCCTGACTGAGCTGCATTCCACAGCCCTTTTTATTTATTTATTAAGGTATTTCATTTTGAGACAGGGTCTGGCCAAATGGTTCACTAAATTGTCCAGGCTGGGCTTCGTGATCCTCCTGACTCAGCCTCCCAGAGCGATGGGCTCTCAGGGGAACCCGCCCTTGTTTTCGTCATGTGTTAAACGAGGATGCTCCAGTAGTTGTAAAATGAGTGGTTTGGGGCAAGTGGCTCATTTCCTGCCTCTTTTTGCCTTATCTGTGAATTGGGGCTGGTCTTGCAGGAACACAGATTTAACTCGCTAAAGTGGTGCTTCACAGAACTTGTCAGAGTGTTTCTGTCAGAGCATTTGGATTCATTGCAGAGTCCAAAAGGTCTCTAGAAATGGAAGTTGCTTTCTTGCTCACTGATTTTTCTTGTTAGCAACCTCCCCGCAGCCTGACTTGCTGTTAATTGTAGTCTTTTATCTCGGTCTGGGTGAATACAGTTGTCCCTTCCTATGTAAAGATCAAAAATATCCTCCTAGAAACACTGTGCTGGTGTCAAACCTGTACAAAGTTATTTGTTTTTTCTTTGTCATCCCTTGAGCAATGCTGTGCATAACTATGTAGGTAACATTTAGATTGTATCAGGAGCTGCAAGTCACTTAGAGATGTCCTAAAGTGCGGGAAGCTGCGTACAGGTGCTATGCAAATACTGTGCTTTTTTTATTTTTTAAAAAAATAAAAGTTTTTTTTTTTCTTCTTTTTGAGACAGGGACATGCTAAGTTGCCCAGGCTGGGCTTGGAACCTGTGACCCTTGTGCCTCGGCCTTTCAAAGTGCTGGGGTTATAGGCGTGTGTCACCACACCCAGTTTATATTGTCTCTTTTAAATCAGGAATTTGAGCAATCAAAGATTTCATTATCCTTAGGGGATTCTGTAGATACGAGGGTGACTGAGTGACCAACTCTTGCCATGGAATTTGATTATAGGGTGCTCTCCTAGCCCCACTGGGTTGAAGCATCCATGGTAGGAAGAATGCATCTTATTAAAACCTAAAGCAGTTCCAGTGTCTGAAATGCATCCGAACACAGGGCTTGGGGGTAAAGGACGGAAACCAGAATTTACTTGGCTCGGAGAGTTAATGCTCCCGTACGGGAGCTGGGCGCTCAGGCAGTAACCCACTGGGGCGGCCTGACCCCCTTCTGTAACCCCCTCTGCCCAGGTTCAGCCAGCAGCAATGCTTCGTCCAGCTTCTGCAGGAGGTGAACGATTTTGCCGGCCAGCGGGAGCTGGTGGCCGAGAATCTCAGCGTCCGAGTGTGTCTGGAGCTGGCCAAGTACTCCCAGGAGATGAAGCAGGAGAGGAAGATGGTGAGGGGTCCCCACC